ATAAATGATTATTTAAAAAGCCATATTCGATTAACTCCCGTGACATTCAACGAGTCGCTCTACAAATTTCAGTTATTCATTCTTAAGATAATTTATCTTTTAATTGCGTTTATCGTTTTTTTGACGTCTGCATTTAATTTCTGTATATAACAGCCCGTTTACTATCGGAACGAATTGCGTTCGCTATCCTTATTTTTCGGATCACGTACAGTTGGAGGAATTATACTTATCTATTTCTACTGAAAACGTCAATAATCCGATTAACTCTCGAGTCACGATTCATGAATTTTTTTTACGTTTACTGTAATTTCACTACAAGAGGAAAGAAATCCGATGCTCATCTGAGTCTCAATTAATCGATAAAGTATGTTTCACAACATGGATCAAAAATCGCAAATAGGATGGATCGTTTTCCGATATCAATCGATTGCAAGATTGTTGATAAATCACGAGAAAGGGAAATCAACTCACGTCGACGAGAGTGACTCGGCGAAGAGCCAAAATAGTATTAGGTTCATCAGGTGGAAGCGTGCGGAGAAACACAATGATTCTTATCGTCGAACATTACGCTGTTAGGTGCGATAAAGCATGGTAACTGCAATCGCTACGTATCGTGTATGCAAAATATCGGAGTAGTTTGATACAGGTGATTATTCGTCCATTTGATCGTAGCAAAACTTTTATTTAGACCTTATAAACATTGAATACACAATCACAATATACCATGGATATAAAATGTTTTAACGTATTTAATCTTAGAATGCTATAGTACGTAAATTTTATGTGCAAGTGAGCGAGATCATTGACCGCTAAAGCTATGCCTTCAGTGGTCAATAGGGAGTCCAATCTGCCATGAAAGCAGGAATAAGCTTTAAAAAATTCAGTTTGTTATACATCATTTTGAACTTTCTGGTGATCAGTAACAAAGAATGTAATAAGTGTTTTCAATTTTTAAGCAGTTTTGTGTTATATATTTTATTAGTAAATGTTGAGGCCACATTGGACTTATAACACAATCCTTATCATTTAAGTCTGAATTTGATAATATGCTTATTTTTTCTTTCCTTTCAAATTAAGTAAGATAAATGTAAGGTATACGTAAAGTTCCTTTAGTTACATAGAAAAAACGATTTTGCTGCAACATTTAAAAATTTAATTAGATACAGATCTGAATATAATTCTGTTGGACCATTAAAAATAATTATGTGGGAAACTTAAGTACGATGAACAATGCTGCAAAATGTGTTGACATTTAAGAATTGTGTTGTATGTCTAAATTCTAAATTATAATAAATATTTTGTCATAAAAATGTAAAATATACGAAAATTTTGTGTCATTAATTAAGAGTGGTCTATTTCTTTGTATGTAAAATTTACATATTAATAGCAGTACTGTATTACTCAATATTAAAATAGCGTTCTAAGATTAAAATTGATGTAAAATTAATATAAAACGAACTGTATAAAACATATTCAAAATATATGTATATGCTTAATCGAAAGATCAAAAGATACAGTAACAAAAACTAAATGATATTACCTGATAATAACGTGCAACTAATTGCTGAATAGTATGTCATGTATATAAAAAATACACGCAAGTTTTAAAATTTTCTTGAAACTCGCCTCTCTCAGAATTCGATTAACTTTACTTATGAGAAAGAGTCGCGAATATCGTCCGTAATACTGTATCCCATTTTATCCATCTCCTCGGTGATTTTCGGATCTTTGATTATGGATTGAATCCATTTGTAGTAAGGCAGCTCTTCCCTTACGCCCCCATATACTTTTGGCAAGTACTGGGGCAAGATGTGTTGGTGCAGACTCTCGTAATTGTTACCATGGAAGAACAGCTTGTTTCGCATGTTGGTATCGAGCAATGGTTTGAAGACCGCGAAGATCGCATCGAAGACCCACGACTGATTAAGGATGTGCAGCGCGTGAATTCTAATGGGGAACGCAGTTACCATCACAGACAACATCATGCTTGCCACCTAAAAGAAGGATTTATCTTCATGTCTTATATTGATGTATTATTACATTAGCACTCCTTTGCCATCTTTAATTTTGTATAACTATATTTATCACAAACAATCTACAAATAATATCAAAATTCCATGTAATAAAACCCTGATAAACATTTTTCTTACGATTTTTTATTATTTTTCAAAATTTCAATTACACTTAAGCGGAACAAATCACGATAATGTCACAATAACGTTAAAGTAAATCAGAAATGATTGAAAAGTAACTTTTAATAATTATTTTATTATTAGTGATTATTTATTGAAATAATTTTGACGCTATTTTGATGTCATAATGTCTCGTATTCTGCTTGAATAAATTTGATAATTTTTTAGAATAATTTTATAAGTTTTTAGAAAATTTCTCAGATTTTTTTTATCAATTGGAACATTTTCACAGTAGTACTGAAAAAGTCTACATCTTTTTTAAAATTCTTTATATATAAATTTTTTAATATTCTAATTTTTCTGAGATTTCTCATATTATAATTTATCTGAAGGAAGGAAACTCTTATAAATTCTGAAAAAGTTTAAAGTACTTTTTCGAATATTTTTATCAATTAAAAATATCAAAAATTCTTAAAAATATTATAAGAGACATTAACACCTGACCTTTATTATTGTTTTTGTTTTTGAATATAAGATATTTTTCAAAACTTTTTTTACCGAGGAAGAAAGAAGAAATATAATAACGAGGCATCAGATATACCTGAGGCGTCACGGACCATGCGTGTGTCATGGAGATATCCTTTAAATCGAAAATGGCTATACCACCCATAATTTGTTGTCTGGGTTCAAGCATGCTTATTTCAAGGATTCCAACTGTAGCCTTGAAGAGCATCTCGGCAGGATATTTACGCGGATTCCAATTGCCAAAACGGTAAATCATTAAACGCCTGCCGCATTGACTCCTATACGGCGGCACCGTGATCACATTGTCTTCACCTATGTACCTTATCTCGGCCGAGGTCAGCTGCTGATGGATTTCCGGATGTTCCTCTTTGAAGTTGTAGTAATTCACTATCTATCGAAAGATTCCTTGAGAAAAATAGGCTTCGACGTTCTGTGTGCTGTCATTCACGAGTAAATGTCATAAAATTATGTATTCCGTGAAATTTGCATTATAAAATAGCAAACACTGATCACGCTGAACATTTCATTTTATTCATTATCGCAATTTAATATAAGGTATTACTATGAATTCTTGTTAGATTGATATAAACTATATCTTTAATCAATTATTCATCGGCTGTTCTCGTTAATTGTATATATGAATAGGCTGTTTGTTTATGCATATGCATATGCAGATAAGAGAATTGAGCGATAGAGAGATAGCGATTGAGTCATCTTAAAGCTTAGTTTGGATGGGAAATTATTTTAAATCTATATCAATCTTTATTTTATTTTCTCGTTAAAATATTAAAATTATACCGTGGTCATTGAATCAATTATTAAAAGCGAATTAATAATTGCTCTGTTCCAAAAAGCTAGATTTTTATTTCTGCTGATTCTAATTTTCGTGGAATACACACAAACGTGCCAGGTATTTCTTGAAAGGTAGATCAGTTCACCCTGACATAATTGCATAACTAAAAGTTTCGCTTCATGTTCACACTTTATCTATCGATGTATTTTCACTATTAATTGGTCATAAATACTCGTTATTTCAACATTCCTAATAAAATTTTATAAACTATAAAATTCAAAATGTTTGCATTCTTGCAAACAAAAATATTTTAAAACAATCAATAATTATTATCAATAATTGTTGTTATCAATAATCATTATTATCAATATTATTTACAATCACATTTTTGAACAAAAATTGACTGTTTTGTGAAAAACGATTTCGAACAAAATTACACAGAGCACACAATCCAAGGTAATATAAAATAATTAAAATATAAAATAAATTAATGAAAATTAATACAAACATAAACAAAAGAGAAGAAAATAGATTTTATGCTACGATTAAATCAATTTACATTACTTCTTCTTGATAAGATGAATGACAGAAGAAATCAAATATGCAACAAATTATTGTTGCAATTATAATGAATTGATTGGCTTACATTGGACATAAATATGCATAATAAACCTTTCTTATTACTTTTCTGACTATCCAATTCCGCTAATAATCCTAAATGACGCAATTTTCTAAACGAGACTAAAATTACTGTTTATGTAGGATTGAATTTCTGACATTCAAAAAAAATAAATATCTACCAACATAATTATTTACGGATCATTTAATATTTAATTTGCTATATTTATGTTCCTATTAAATGTATAAATTAGATACACATATACATATATTTAATTGCCAAACAAACAAGGGCCATTATAAAAACTAGCTAATACTTTAGTATTTTTAAAATTGAATTGCATAAATGACAGAAACATGCATGATTCGGCCTAATTAACCTAGTAGTATATTAAGTATTTACTAATTTATAATTTTATTTTTTCTCTCAAACTATGTCTTTAATTCTGTAAAGAAGACCATTTAAGTACATATTATTGGAAAATTTAGGAGTGCAAAATATAAATAACTTGAAGAAATATTTTTCTTTTTTTCTTGATAAATTATGCATACGTTTTTATATAAATTAATTTACTTTTATAAAAAAAATTTCTAGAAAGTTTTGCTCTTCTAAAAACTGTTGCTCTTCTTCTATGTTGATTAGTTCTTCAGATGTTTTATCTCATTTTATTGCTCATGAATTTTTATGATTTGATACTTGTTAAATGTTAACTATTTATATACTTTATTTGTAACATTTGTGTTAAAGATTAACCACTGTATATACTTTATTCGTTTAAAGACGGTTTGATATTGACTAAATATTTTGTTGGCATATAATAATAAATATTGCATAAAAGTATTAGGCTTTAAAGAAGGTCGGCATTAACGTAACGAACAAGTAGGCATTGCATCCCGTTTCTATTTATGGCGAAAGAAAACAATGGAAAAGTTATCGCAAAATATATCTCTTTTTCTCTTTTGTAATATAGATACTTTTCTTTAAGTTTTATTTAAATGAAATAATTATTATCTACAATAAAAAAATATCAAATCTAAAAAAGGGGCAAGTAATTTTTTGAACATTTCAAAATTTTGTATTAATGTTTTTCAGCTTGACGTATAATAAGCAAGAAATATGTATAAGAAACATGTATAAGATAAAAATTTTGAAATATTGAATAATTATAAATTTTATCAGCATCTTTATGTATTTTTCAAATATCATTATTAAAATATTATCTAATAATACAGATATATATTTTCGAATATTTAAGTACCGTCACTAAATAGACGCAACGAAGTAATATTTCTCGTAGAATAAACTACATGGAACAGAATAAAAGACGCAATATTATTAAAAATATTTTTCCCATACTTTAATGAAATGATTTCTATAAAATGTATAAGACCTCTCTCTTCCTCCCCCCCTCCCTCTCTCTCTTTCTCTCTCTTTCCCTTCCAAAATAAAAGTAAATTAAATGTATTTTGGAATTATTTCATTTTGCTTTGTGTACATAAAAATTAATTCAGGAATCTAATATTCTTTCAAATTTATATGATAAATAAATGTTGAATCAATGTTCCTAAATGCTGAATAGCTAGCAAAACATTACTTCAATCGATACTTAAGGGGATTCTAAAGCCGTCTGTATTAGACTAAATCATATAATTTTTATATAATAAATATTCTTTCTATTCCATAGATTCAAAAATCTCTTATTCCAGGATTAAAGAATACGCATTAATACGTGTTTGTGAGGTGGAGTTTATGCTGAGAGCAACCAAAAATTTTGAAATTGTTTTTTTTTTATTATTTCTTAGTGTAACATGGCGTCTCAAGCTATCAAGTCGTGATAACATTTGCTTGATTCGAAAGTTTTACAACCTGTATTTACGAAATAGTAATCCACAAACACGTAGTTTGTACAAACAAATAACGTCGAATTCTTAGAATTAGACTTAAACGCTTTATCGTGATAAATTTGTTATACAAAAATTAACACAATCGTGCGTGTATCATAGGTTGCGTAAAATATTAATATATAAAGACATGTCATTGTGCTGGAAAAACAGCGATCTTTAGTGTCTTCGTCGGAATTCGAGCTTCACTTTAGGATCCCCTTAATGATTCTTCTTATGTTTTTCACTTTGAATCTACTTTCACAATGTTGCAATCAACGTTTCTGAGATGTTGATTAGAGCAACATTAGTTATAACGATATTTCCGATAATATTGAAATCTCCAAATCAGTCCTAAAGTTTGTTCATAATAATGTTATACAACATTAAATTCAACATATTTTATTATATATTATTGAGTGTAATTGTAATAGCATTGTTATAATGATTTTTTGCTTACTGGGTTATTAGTTAAAAAAAAGTTTCTGCTGCTGCACATTTTGAATAATAGGAACTTTTTAAATAAAACTGAAACATGTGTAGAGATGTACATTGTATGTAAAAATAGACTTATGACTTATATAAGCTTGACTTGTTATCGCGCATTCAATTACAACTTAACTCTGACAATGTTTTTAATTTAATATTTTTGTATTGAAGTAAGCTACATCTAAAATAGTTTATATTTATTTTTTCTGTAATAGCATTCATTTGTTACAAAATAACTTTAAGAGATATAATATTTATCAGAATATATCCGCAATATGTTTTTCAGTTCTATTACGTCATTAATTTGATATGGAGTTTGTGGTATAGTAAACTTACACCGCATTATTTGAAAATTTATCCCACTATCAGGACAAACTGGCTATAAAGTAATGGTCATGTTTCACTTACTATAAAAAACCTAAACAAGATCGATTCTGGGATATAGAGAAAGGTTACCCTTATTATATTAGTATAATTTAATCATAATAATTAGTAAAGATCGATTTAAAAAATCGATTGCTGAAAATTATGCCAAGAAACACCGGTTTTTCCTACTCTTATTTACGTAACTAGTTTTACATTTTATATTTATAAGCATAATCTGATATAATTTATGCATAATTAAATTTAAAGATTCTTCTTTCATTTATATAAGTAACGTCAATCAGCTGATGAATAATGTTATGTAATTAGATTGAATAAATATATCGTAAGTAAAGTTGTTAATTTAAAAATAATAAATTTGATCCATTAAATCTTCACAATCATTAAAACTTTTTATTACAAATTGTTAATTACATTTCGCTCGACATATGTTGAAAAATGTATGAAAATAAACACTTGTCAGCATTTAGTAGCAATAATAAGTCTGCAATATCTTTTGAGGACAATTGAATACAAGATTGCAGGCTTGCTAATAAGTGCTGACAAATGTTTTATATATTTTGCAACCACAGCATATATTAAACTAAATGTTATTAACAATTTTGCAGTTACAGCATTTTTCTTTGTCTCGTGACTGACATTCTATTTCTGCGCACGATAAACTCTTATCAGCTTTACGTGACAAAAAGCGCATTGACGCGAGCGTACTTTTAATAATAAAAGCGTACGCCTCTTTCATCGATTTCAACTGTCTGCTTCATTGCAACTGTCATTGTCAATGTCTATGTATCTATAACTCACCAGCTTATGCGCACTCTTTATATTAAAGTTCCTCGCGCGAAGAAATCTGATGAGAAAAGCGTCGTCCATCCTGTGTGGCAAACACTCGCCTATCTCTGTGAAAGAATGCATACAGAATCTTGTTAACACCGAATAATATAAATGTGACAATATTTTTCTACTTGCTCGCGAAACGTCACAAATTCTACGAATTTTAGTCATGTTTTAAATATATCTAGCTGATATGTTCAAGAGATTTTCTGACAGATATTTTGATTCTATATTTATAACATAAAAAATATGTACATTTTTGGAAACACAATCGTTTGGAAACACTAATATCTTCTTTAAAGGAATTCTAAAACCGTCTGTATATTATCAACTAAATAGTAATTTTTGTATAACTATTACTTTTTTCTCTTTTACAGATTCGAACATTTTTTCAAGATTAAAGTATATATGCATAATTAATACGTGTCTGTGAGGTGAAATTTATACTATAGACAAAAAATTTTTCTTAAGTCTGGATCTACAATAGATGTTTTAAGTTTTAAGCCGTAAGAAATTGACCAACTACAGTCGAATGCGAGGAGAATAATTAATTGTAATTCGTCCATTTTTTACTGGCTTAAAAATCTATTGTAGATTCGGGATAAGATATTAATTTTAAAATTTTTTGTCGTTCTCGGCATAAACAGCTCTCCACCTCACAGACAGATATTAATGCATATACTTCAATCGTGGAAAAGGATATTTGAATCTGTAAAAGAGGAAAAAAGTAATTGTTACACAAGAATTACAAAAAAGATTTAATCAGTAATAGAGGTGGCTTTAGGATCCCCTTAAATTCTTTCTTCAAATTTTTAGCCCAAAGAAGAGAAATAGCTTACTTCTGCATTTATAATAATAGAAATATGTATATTTATGGAAATTATCGTTGCTAATATCGTTGTTAACATTTTTTTTAATTTTAAAAAATTTTTTTAAATTCTTTTCTAAAAAAAGAAATTTTAAGTCTGTAGTTACAAATATAACAATAAAAATTGAATATGTACATTTACAGAAATACCAACATTATTGCTAATATCAAAATGGTTAATATCACAAACAACTGTTGACAATAAAATCTAAAACTTCGCGATTCGTTACAAGAAAGATGCCATAGGAGTTTTTGCGGTTGTTAGTGGGTAAATAATGTATTCATACATATATATAAGGCAAAAAGATTAATTAAAACGTATCGCAAATAATTAAAACGTATATTAAGAACATATATAATGTAGACTATTTTATTCATTATATATGTTCTTATAATATTCTTATTATTTAAAAATTGCATCCTTTCGCCTAATATACACGAATATCTGGAGGCACGGTAGTATATCGGCGCATGTATTATTTATATACTAACAACCGCGGAGGCTCCTATAGGCATTTTTCTTGAATTGAATTTATTCTTGAAACCACGAACTATTTGTTATGTTTTATTTAATTTGCGATTGTATACACTTTTCTTTCAATCAATTCGCACTACACTGTCGATTTTGCAGCATTGACACTTTGTTGATTATGATTGTTTCAAACTAACAATATACAATTCGAATTACCGAATATCATGTCGCGGAATTCCTGCAACGTCTGACACTTGACCTCCTCGGTTTCTCCTAATTCCCTTCTGGCATACTCCATGACTTCCGGCGGTGGTTCGCTCAAATCTAAGGTGATCTGCTCGTCGTCCTTGTCATAGTTCTCAAGCTCCGGCATATTGTCGGCACCTTTGCAAGTTTTTAGATCTTCCTGTTGCTTGACATCGGACGTCTGCTTGCTGAGAATCCTCTGATTCTCCGAATCACTTTCTATTGAAAGCTCGTGATCGTTTGCTGGAGTCCTCGACTCGTCACAGTTGCTGTTCTTCTCGTTTCCCTGCGGCATGATAGCAGATAGATCAATGATCTATTTCATTTAATATTTATAAAATCCCCAGATCGACGTGTAATTCGTTCGCGAAAAAGCGAAATCACGCGATCATTCAATCGTGGGTCGCGCTGTCGCTCGCACAACTATATTGACCGACCGCCTGTCTCCAGCTTTACCAGATAACCTCCTTCTACTGATATTCTTGAACACGTACATCTATATAGGGGATAGATAAATGTGTGCACGTGCACGTATTTATGTGTATGCGTGCACGTGTGTGCACTGTATATGCCTACAGGCAACCGATGCATGTGCAGGAGGACAAACAATAATCTCGCCGGATTTCTAAATGTTGATTCGAAGCTGACTCAGATTTTTATTTTTACAATCAATATTGACCGTGAAATGTGTTCTTGAATAAAGATTATTTAAATGCCGCGCTGCTACGCAGCACGAACCTTGAGTCTCTCAAACATGAAGCACCAGATCGACTAGATCAAGTATGTATTAGCAAGACAAAGTTCAAAACACAGCGTGATTAACTCTTATTTTCATCCGTGTGAGCAAAACAAGGTGGGAAAAAAAGTTGTTTCCTTTCTGTGCCAATTTACTGCGGTATTTAATATATTTTGGATAAATAATGAAATAAATACGTTTGAATCGAAATAATAATGAAATAAATACGTTAATCGAGAATAATTATTCGATTATGTAG